GCTGAACTCGTCTCGACCTCTTCCCCCCTTCGCTCCGTCTGTGCGGCCGTAGAACCACACACTGGCTGCGGGAGAAGGGCTGCACATGACAGCGCTCCTCGGTCGAACCAGTGCTCTAAATTATGTTTTTAATTGACGGTAGCACCAGGTCCAGTGTGCCTGCATCATCGTGTTTTCATACTTACACGGGGAGGGAGGGAGGGTTGACTACGAGGCAAAGTGGGGGGGGGGCAGACACAGCGTACACACACAGACATACACACGGGGCCTAGTCGCCACATCTTTTCATGCGAAGAAGCGGCCGCAAAACCGTCAGTAAACCTTGATTTATCTGCTTCAAATACATGGTCGAATCACCTAGCATGCTAATAATCCGAGGAAACAGCCATAGAGGGGGGTAAGCGGGTGAAGACGTATTTTGATCTGATTTTCTGGGGGTTCTCCGCTGAGGGCTAACTGGCTCTTTTGACGAGGTGGCTAATTGTAACCCAAGCAGTGTTAGCATGTTAGCTGAGGAAATGGTTGATAGTAGCTGCCTTAGCACTGCCAGGCGGCTAAACGCGATCAGATTTGTGCAGCGCAACGGCAGAGTTTCCTCTATTCTCTTTTATTTATACCGTTCAGAAACCAAACTATATTCATTGTAATAATTGACACAGAGAACGTTCGAAGTCTCACATTAGTTCGCCAAGAAAAGCGTTTTAGCCAGACGAGTCTTGTTTCCAAAGGGCGTCTAGTTGTACGAGATTTCGGGTTGTAGTAAAGGGTAGCGATTTGAAAAACTGCAAGGGAATTCCTAAAACTAGAGGGTCGATATCTTTAAAAACAACTATTCCCCCCTTTTATTTTATTGTTAGTGTAAATGTATTTTAAAGGCTCATTGTAGCTTTTAAAATACATGTAGCTTAATGTCGTCTATTATTGTCAGGTTAACGTAACGCTCTTACTTTACCTGTATTTCATGTCGTCTATTATTGGCAGGTTAACGTAACGCTCTTACTTTACCCCGAAGCTCTTAAAGAGACTTTTTTACAAAGTACTTTAATATCCGAGGAATTACTTGGTCGTGAAGGCAGCACATACAGCCGCCGCAGTGTTGGACATGCGCAGAGCTGTTGGCTATGCTAGGCGGCGAGTTTTCGTTGTAGCCGTGCTATGGCTAGTTCCTCGAATTTAGCATTTAGCACAGTTAGCCTTGTATTTGCCCCACGTAACAACATTTTCCATCCATCCATCCATCCATTTTCATCCGCTTATCAGTTACCGGGTCGCGGGGGCAGCAGTCGCCACCCAAATCACATTGCACATCTTCCACTTCCAGTGGACTCACCACCCGCTAACCGGGTTTCGAACTTGCCCAGGAGGTGAACCCTGGGGTTCCAGAGACAGAGACATTGCCTCTGGGCCAAAGCGCCACTAACAACATTTTAAATTAGTGAAATGCAACAAGAAACACCAATTAAAGCCCGTGCATTCATTTGTTACGTTGTCATTTGGTATTTCACTGTATTTTACACCAAGCACTGCTCACTGTCACGGACAGTTGATAGCTAGTTGCTAATTTAAGCATACATTAGCCTGTGCTCGTCGCAAAGATGGGACATTATTTTGGTATTGACGATTTAATAAAACATACAGACGCATATATATATATATATGTATATGTATATATATACATACAGTTGGGGGTTAATAAACCATATGAAACGTTTTTGACAGGCAGACGTTGTATACAATGGAACCGCCCAGTCCCGGTTTCTGCTGTAGCTGCTGTAACACTAAAATAAATAAATGCCTTATGTCTGTAAACACCAGAAATGTGACATTTTAATTTTAACTAGTGAAGCGTCGACTCATATTTTCCAGTCTGTACGCTGTGTGAGAATGAAGTGTTTTGGTCGAGTGTTTTTTTTTTTTTAACCGGGTCCGTATCTGGGGATTTCAGAGACGTTTTTGGGTTCCCCCAACGACTCCGGCCCGGGCCTCAGTCCGCGGTCTAGAGTACAGTAGCGGGCTGCTTGAGGTGGAAGCACGTTGGTGTGAAGCAGCCAGCCCCCACCTCCCATCCCTCCCCCCACCCGTGCTCCAGACACCAACATGGGAGACAGCAGAGGTGAGGGAAAATAACTGATTCATGCTGCTATCTGTACTGTAACACAGGGGTCTGTGATGGATCAGGAACACGGTTGTCCTTGTAGGTCTGTTTTGTCTGCCAATAACCTGAACCTCCATGTTTATTACATAGGTGTCTGAGGAAAATATCACTGGCAGTGGCTGATACACTTTTTATGTTGATTTTGTACAAATGTTAATGTTAATGTAAACACGTGTTTGTGTTTCCCTCTGACTATTTTAACACCAAGGGTTCCCAAGTGAAGGTTGTGTCTTTAGGTTGGTTTGTGTCTCATTCAAATGAAGAGTTATACTCTGACCATCTTCTGTTTGTCGTTTAGATTCTCGCAGTCCAGACAGTTCGTCTGTGTCGTCGCCCCCGTCAGGCCAACGCTCGCCTCCGCTGGTTCCCTCGGCTGCAGCTTCGATGACCTCTCTTCCTCCCATAACAACCACAGGGGTCAACAGTCCAGTCAGCAGCATCGGCTCTCCGTTTTCTGTCATCAGCTCGTCTATGGGCTCACCGTGCCTCCCCGGCACACCGTCAGTGGGCTACGGCCCAATCAGCAGCCCACAGGTGTAAAAACAGCAACAGGTTGTTTTGGGGTTTTTTTCCCCCAGGAGAAACCCAGACGGTTTTTCTTGACCTTGTGTTACCTTCCTTTGTGTTCCTGCTTCAGATAAACTCCACGGTGACCATGTCTGGGCTCCACGCCGTGAGCAGCTCTGATGATGTGAAACCTCCGCTGGGCCTGAAGCAGCTCTCCTCCCACAGCCCCGGGCCCATGTTGTCCCAGAAACGCCTGTGTTCCATCTGTGGAGACAGATCTTCTGGTGACTTCTCACTCTGTTTACCAATCAAAGTTCATGTTAGAACGACTGGTCAACGACTGGTCAACGACTGGTCAATGACTGTCAACTCGACAAGATCAACATGACCCTGGTCAACAACTGGTCAACGACTGGTCAACAACTGTCAACTCGACAAGATCAACATGACTTTGAATGACTTCTCTTCTTTTTCTTCTTTTTCTTTTTCTTCTTCTTTTTCTTCTTCTTCTTCTCCTCCAGGTAAGCACTACGGTGTCTACAGCTGCGAGGGCTGCAAAGGCTTCTTCAAGCGCACAGTTCGCAAAGATCTGACCTACACGTGTCGGGACAACAAAGACTGCATGGTGGACAAGAGACAGAGGAACCGCTGCCAGTACTGCCGCTACCAGAAGTGCCTGGCGATGGGCATGAAGAGGGAAGGTGAGGAACCGGCAGCGACTGGTTCTGTTCTGGTCTGTTCTGTTCTCCGTCTGAGTCCTGCCCTTCTCAAACTGTTCCTGCAGCTGTTCAGGAGGAGCGGCAGAGGAACAAGGAGCGGGAGGGGGAGGTGGAGTCCACCAGCGCGGTGAACGAGGAGATGCCTGTGGAGAAGATCCTGGAGGCTGAGATGGCTGTGGAGCAAAAGACTGAACTTCATGCAGACGGCAGTTCTGGAGGCAGCTCTGTGAGTGTCCTGGGGTCACCGGGGTTACCGGGGTCACCGGGGTCGTAGTCTGTTGGTTGACGTGAACCCAAACTTTTTTTTTGACTTCCGTCCTCCAGCCCAACGATCCTGTCACCAACATCTGTCAGGCAGCAGACAAGCAGCTCTTCACTCTGGTGGAGTGGGCCAAGAGGATCCCTCACTTCTCAGAGCTGCCCCTGGACGACCAGGTCATCCTGCTGCGTGCAGGTGAGGCCTGCAGGTGGTGCTACACCCCCACAACACCCCTGTCCCCCCCCAGTCCCACCAGTCCTCAGGATTCTGTCTCAATGTTGGTTTAGTTTTTTTAGTTTAGTTTTTAAATATTGATAAACTGAAGTCTCTCCTGATCCCAGATCAGTCTCCTCAGTCATTGATCAGTTATTGATCGGTTGTTGATTTTTTTTCTCTCCAACTCCCAGTCCAATATTCCTGGTGTTGGTTCATGTTCTTTTCTTTCTTTCTTTCTTCTCCTTCATCAACAGGTTGGAATGAACTCCTCATCGCCTCCTTCTCTCATCGCTCCATCTCCGTGAAGGACGGCATCTTACTGGCCACAGGTCTGCACGTTCACAGGAACAGCGCCCACAGCGCCGGAGTCGGAGCCATCTTTGACAGGTAACACACTCACACACACACAATCTGCACGCTCACCCAAACTGACCAGTCCTGAGGGTCCGGCCGACGCAGAGGTTTGAGAGGTCGAGTTTTGGGTTCTGGCGTCGTCTCCTCTGATTGGCTGCAGCTGCTGCTGCTTTCTGCATTGGCTGTGATTGGCTGAGTGACATCACTGCTTTAGAGCCGCCTCTCAGACCGTGGTGTCAGTGACTAACACCTGCATGGCCACACACACACACACACACACACTGATGACACGTCAGCGTGGTTCAGCCGACGCCTCCTCAAACAGCAGCGCAGAAACCAGCGTATGCTGTTCTGATGGGTATGCTGAAGGGATGAGAGCGGAAGTGGCCGCCGTAGAAAAACCTCCAGGAATCAGAGCCTGAAACACTGTAAACATGCTTCTCTGTCGAAGTTGGTTTTGTGTTGGGATCAGTGTGAGGCTGCGGTTGAGATACTTGAATGAACGAAGTCAAGGCCCGTTAAGAACCTGAACTTTCAAACATCGGACATTAAATTAAATTAAATGTTTTCCTGAAACCGTATCAATATCCTCCGTCGATTCATGTATCAGCGGTTCTGTTCCGGTGTTCGTGACCCACAGAGCTGAGTCTTGGTGTCGTGTCGACAGATTCTTGACAACAGGAACTTGTCTGAATGAAACGCCAGTCTGAGGCAGAACCAGAACCAGAACCAGGACCTGAGAGTTCCTGCTGGGCGCGTACGGTACCTCAGCGTCGGTGTCAGCTGACCTCCACCCTTTAACCCTTTCCTGTCCGTCACTCCTCCGTCACCAGCTCCTCTTCTGCTTCTTTTCACCACACGAACCGGTCGGGTTCTGCTCAAAGGTCAAAGGTCACCTTTAACACTGTCCACTTTCTCTTGCAGAAACACTGTGGCCCCCCCCCTCCCCCCCACCCCCCCCCTCACACACACACACACACAGTTTATTGAGACCAGCCCACCAGCAGGTGGCAGCACAGACACCTTGTGTCCAGGCTGAGCAGATTCAATGCAATGAGAATGTAACTGTGTAATGACATTGTAATAACACATTGTGATTGAACACACAGGGCGCACAATGCTGAGGTGGGGGCCATATTTGACAGGTAACTACCCCCCACACCCACACTCCTAAAGCCCCCCTCACCCGTCTTTGTGAAGTGAAGCAGAGAGGAAAGGTCGAAGCTTTCACACGTGTCCGCAGCGCTGCACGCCACACACACACCTCATGACACACAGCAGGAAGTAGGAGAGGAGTCAACAGGAAGTGCCTGTCTGAGCAGGAGGACGTCGTCATAAATCCATGACTTTATTTTTTTATTTCTCCACCATTAAAATATCTGACCAGCAGAGACTTAAGTTAACGTTTGATAACATCACCACAAGGTGGCAGCACCTTGTCACTTTTAACATTTCTCCTGCTCAGGAAGCCGTAGTGATGTGGACGTGAAGTCTGGACCTTTGATAAAAGTCAACAATCGTCTCTGTTCTCTCTCCCCACCGTTTCACCTCCTCCTCTTCTCCCACTGGAAATCCTGCTCCTCCTCCTGGTCCTCCTCCTGCTCCTCCTCCTGGTCCTCCTGCTGCTGCTCCTCCTGCTCCTCCTGCTCCTCCTCCTGCTGCTCCTCCTCCTGCTCCTCCTCCTGCTGCTGCTCCTCCTGTCTTCTCTGCAGGGTCCTGACGGAGCTCGTCAGTAAGATGAGAGACATGCAGATGGACAAGACGGAGCTGGGCTGCCTCCGAGCCATCATCCTCTTCAACCCAGGTGCACAGACAGGTGGCAGTGTTGAGGCCAACTCCTCTGTTGACAGACAGGTGGCAGTGTTGAGGCCAACTCCTCTGTTGACAGACAGTTGGCAGTGTTGAGGCCAACTCTGTGTGTATTTGCAGATGCCAAGGGTCTGTCCAACCCCAGTGAGGTGGAGCTGCTGAGGGAGAGGGTGTACGCGTCTCTGGAGTCTTACTGCAAACAGAAGTATCCAGACCAGCAGGGCAGGTCGGACACACACACACACACACACACACGTGTATTACTACTAATGACAAAGCGGTTCTAAAGCTGTGGTTCTCGGAGAGGTTGAGGGACATTAACAGGACTCCCTCTCCTCCGTGCGGCTCAGGTTTGCGAAGCTCCTCCTCCGCCTCCCCGCTCTGCGCTCCATCGGTCTGAAGTGTCTGGAGCACCTGTTCTTCTTCAAGCTGATCGGGGACACGCCCATCGACACCTTCCTGATGGAGATGCTGGAGGCTCCTCACCAGCTCACCTAGAGGAGCCCGCTCCAGACCTGCCTCCGGGCCCGGCCCGGCCCGGCCCGGCCCGGCCCACACACCAGGAACCCTGGGCACGCTGTGCCTCGTCGGGTCGCTGGGCCTCACTGAACTGCAGCACCTCCTGGTGTTAACTAAGGGGCTGCGCAACCACACACACACACACACACACACAGGTCTTAAGTCTAATCCGACCTTCCTGCTCCGTCGTCTTCTTTTTGTTCTTTTTCTTCCTTGTGTTCCAGGTTAGACTTTCCTCTCTGTTGCCACCAGGGGTCGCTCTGTTACATCTGTGTCTGACTTCACCCTCTGTCCTTTTAATCACGTTTTGCTTTTAACTTGAAAATCAGGTGCATAATTTCAATCATCTGCCTGTCCGCCACCATGCAGCTCCTCCTCCTCCTCCTCCTCCTCCTCCTCTTCCTCTTCCTCCTCCTCCTACTCTCCTCCCATTGGTCAGGAGGCGTCCTGTGGAGGACAGGCAGACAGACTCAACTCTCACAGAGCTTGAAAGATTTGTTGTTGTTTTTATTTTTCTGTTCTTGAAGTACTGTACTCATGAAATGAGACCTTTGTCCAAGGCATTGAAATCCAGGAAAAGGGGCGGAGACACTTTAGCCCCTCCCACCCTGATGCGCACAGCGGGCTTTGTCAGACAAGAAGAATGACTTGAATTATTGTTGTTGTTGTTGTTGCTGTTGTTGTTGTTGTTGTTGTTGTGATTCTTTTGTTTTTAGTTCAGATTTAGTTCTTTTCTCGTGGGTTGGCGTTCAAAGAGCCTGACGCTCGCAGGAAGTAGAGACGCTCGCAGGAAGTAGAGACGCTCGCAGGAAGTAGAGACGCGTGTAAGACTAAAACCCCCCCCATACTGCCCCCCCCAGTTGGTGGTCCTTGATGCACTTTTGTGAGTTCTTATTTGCCCCAAACGAGCGTCACTTCTGACCCACGGTGACCTCTAAGGTCAACTGTGTGTGTGTGTGTGTGTGTGTGTGTGTAGGCTTGTATCATTCTTCTTCTTCTTCCCACATCATGTTAAGGAGGTCCACTCCAGGGAGGTGACCACCTCCAACAACAGTCCTGGTCAGGGTCACTGTAACCAGCTGACTCAGGCCACGCCCACACACCCTGACGGACGGTCGACCAGGAGCACGACCGGAGCTCAGACCTGTTACACTGCCCCCAGTGGGAAGTCAGAGGAACAGCGGTATTAGTGGTGTTGAATGGCGTCACTTTACTGCTTTAATGACTTGAACCGATGTCGTAGGAAAAGTCCGACACCAACGACCTGCCGTCGACAACGGAGCTCGGTGTGAACGCGGTGTGAATCTGTACAGTAGATGTAAATAATGGAGAGACCACCGTTCACGCGTCTCTGTCCGAGGCTCCTGACTCCGCCCCCTGGGCCAACACGACGCCATGGAACCGATTTCGTTTAGCCCTGTTCCACCTTCGCCTGTGATTGGCTGGATGTCGGTGACAGAGTCACCTGACTTTTTACTGTGATAAAAGTTTTTTTTTTTTTGAAGATCAGGAGTATAGAAAAACAGTACCAGGTACTGTGTGTACCTGGTACTGTGTGTACCTGGTACTGTTGGTACCTGGTACTCCCACGTTCTGCTCCCGTCAGTGAAGTATTTTAACAGTTTTTTTTTCTCCGTCACCGCGACTGTGTCCAAGTGGGTGGACTTTTTGCAGTGTCGTTCTACAGGGAACAGGGGGCGCTGCCCTCAACCAGGTGCTACAACAACCCACCACGTGCACGGTCCACTGACCACGTGCACGGTCCACATCAATGCAACCGCCGTATGCAAGTACACAGTCAGACGGACGCTCTGTACCACACACACACACACACACATAAAACTATATATTTGTTATTGTGTCACCCCCCCTCTCCCCCCCAACTCTCCCCCCCGACTCTTCCTGCTGTTGTAAACCTCAGGACTGGGGGCCACAGGCCTCCTGCCCCCCCCCCCCCCCCCGTGAGACAGGTGGTTATTAGTCGTTGGTCTAAACGTTGGTTTGTTTCTAATGCAGTGCACAGAGTGGCCTCTAGGGGTCTTAAGTTCCCATGGTGCATCCTTGTTCTGGACACTGCTGGACCGTCTGTAGTCTGGTCCTCTCAGTACTGACAGAACTGACAGTGATCTTGTGAGGGACCGATCGGCCACGTCTGATTGGTTAAAGCAATATGAAGACTCTCTGTGATTGGCTGTCCTTTCACTGCAGCCAATCAGAACGCACATGTGACAGGACCGGCCCAATGAAGGTGAACGTTCTTCCAAAACTCTGTCTCCCGGCTGTGACCTACCTGCAGCAGGCAGTCAACGCCGGTGGTCCACCAGTGGTGGCAGTAGTGAGTGTCCGGTCTTTAGTGTTTCTGCCATTTTTACACCAGTCGAAGTTCAAACCATGGGACGTCAGAACCAGGTGACGGTTTGATGTGAGCAGCTGGACTAGTCAACCACAGCTGCAGGTCCTGGTCCTGGTCCTGGTCCTGGTCCAGTTTGATCTGAGGGAATGAAAGAAGAAAATCAGAGTTTTTTTTTAATGAATTCTGAATCTGTTTCTGTTTGTTGTTTCATGTCTGAGTAAAAGTTTTAATACTGCAGTACTGTGTGTTCTTTACCTCGTCCTAATACTGCAGTACTGTATGTTCTTTACTGCAGAGAGAAGGTTCTGATGAGTCACTTCATAAATATAAATATATACTTATGTGTCATGTTTAACCTTGACATGACCCAAATGCAGGTAACGTAAGGAGAAACACAAGGATTTATTTTTCAAGCGCACTTCCAAAGTAATCACAAGAATTATAGTCCAATCGAAATCAGTGTTCGTCTCCACTGCAGCAGAACAGACGATCTGACGACTAGTGGGAGGAATGCCAGGGCTCTTATGCTGTCGGCTGATAGGCTGATTGGTGGCAGGTGCTGAGGAACGGCAGGTGTGCCACGGCGATTAGTCCGGCAGAGTCAGAGAGATGTGCCACGCCCCCTACACACAGAGAGAGAGAGAGAGAGAGAGTACACAACACAAGAAAACACAGGAAAACACAGGAAATGACAGTCCCGACTGTCATCGTGACACTTATGTGTATAAACAGATACACAGTACACACACACACACACACACATAAATATTTACACATGAAGACGGTGAAAACACAGACTGCAGTTCTGGACCATGGAGGAGGAGGAGGAGGAGAAAGAGGAGGAGGAAGGAGCTGGTAGATCAATGATTCTGGGATTGATCAGTCATGACTTATTAATAAAGAACCAAAACAAAGTTTCCGTGGCTGCAGAACGTGTGACTTCCTGTCAGTACCTCCTCAGAGGAGCAGCTGCTCCTGTAGAACCTCCCTCTTGGCTCCGGTTCTGTCCTGATCAGCCGTGGCTCCGTCCTCAGTCCAGCAGGACCGCAGGGCTTCGGGCGGCGGCTGGCACCGCAGTGCCAACCTTCGGCCTCCAGAGGGAGCACTGACCTCTAGTCTAGTGGGCCAGACTGGCCAACAGTGAGTCAGTGTTTCAATTCATCAGGTGGTGGGGGGGTGGGTGGTCCGGTGCTGTGGTCTAAACCCCGCCCACTGTGTTCTGTGTGGACC